TGTCTGCCTCTGGTAGTATAATATCCAGCCATTTGCATCTACTAATTGCTGGGTGATTGCTCTATTTATTAAAACAGTGACCTGGGTCATAAATTGCTGTACAGTCTGATCCAATTGACTTTGGGCATTTTTGCAGCAGTAGTCTTTGAAACCAGTTTTTGAAGTTTGTTCCTACTACAGGAGGGCTCTTGTTTGCTGTGTAGGGGTGGAAAATTTTTCCTTTCCCCCTTCTAGGTTATTTGGCTGGTCTAATAATTAAATTGATATAACAGGTTAACGAGAAAAACAACAAAAGTTTAATAACATGTATACTTCCTGCATAAATGGGAGATACCCAGGAAAACTGAGTAACTCTCTGAAATGGGTTAAGTTGTCACCTTAAGTACTATCTTCAGCTAAAGACAAAAGATGTTGGGGGTGGGGAATCACTTATGGGAAGTTAACAGGAAATGCATAGTAGTTATACAGATTGAAGTCATTGCCTCTCCACTGATAAGAGTTTTTAGAGATTTAGAGTCCTCTTTCTCTTCCTGGTACAGAAAGGGAGACATGCTTACAAATAGAGATTTCCCTTGTAAATGTTTCTTACAAAAGGATACATTCTACTCAGTTTTCAGAGCTTCTCTTATGTCTGTTGTTTTTCTTTAATAACCAGCTTAAGATAGTCAATATGCCAAAGAGTCATATTTTGGAGTGGCAAAATCTGCTCCCCTTCAGTTGTCTCTTTCCATGATTCTCCCTGTTAAACATCTAGCTGGTCTATGGCTTATCTTGTTTCTCTAATGGAGCTGTTGCATCCTCTTCATTGCTTACTACTAAAATCTCCATTGCTTTTAAGAGCACCATTAAGCTTGAATTACCCTACATTGTATTCCAAATAAATTCTATTCTCTTGGGGAGAGCATTGAGCTATCTGTTCTTATTTCCTGCCTCTCATCCTTGGGCAAAATCTCTACACCACTGCCCCAGAACAGCTGGCAGGAAAAGTGGCCCACTTCTCTCAGAGTGAAACTTCTGATTTATGAGCAGGACACTGGTTGGGGGTAGTAACCTCTGGCCTTCTTGGCTTACCTTTCCTGGAGCTCTCTCCTTGGCTGCCTCTCCTTGCTGCATGAGCAAGCTTGTGTGAGGATGATCAGACACTGGTATTCTCAGTCTGCCTTGCCTGGGGTGGAACTTCTGTCCCACATTTGTGGGCTGGTGGATGAAGAGTCCCAAAGTTATCAACCACTCTTGCCTAGGATAGAGCTTCTGCCACATGGAACTGGAGGGTGGGATGAGGGTGGTCTGTCACTCCAGGGCAAATTCCGTAGCCTTCACTGGTAACTTGCAGGGAGAGGTCGGCTGCACCTTCTTGGGGTAGAGCTTGCAACATGCTGAGCCAGTGAGGGGGGCAAATGCAGGGAGCAGGTTGTATTTCAAATGCCATAAAGTTGCTGTTAGTAGTGAAATGTAGTAGATTTTCTTACATCACCGTTTCTTCATTTGCTATATGCTCTTAGGAGAATTCCCAGACTTAAAATGCCTGTTTCTTTTTTTTTGTTTTTGTGGTTCGCAGGCCTCTCACCGTTGCGGAGCACAGGCTCTGGACGTGCAGGCCCAGTGGCCATGGCTCACGGGCCCAGCTGCTCCGCAGCATGTGGGATCTTCCCGGACCGAGGCACGAACCTGTGTCCCCTGCATCGGCAGGCGGACTCTCAACCACTGCGCCACCAGGGAAGCCCTTAAAATGCCTGTTTTAAAAGTAATTTTTGATGGGGAAAGTGTCTGTGGAGGTTTTCACACCACTATTCTGGAATTTATCTCCTTTGGCCATTATTTCTTCAAAGTGTTTCTCTGCATCCTCCCCTTAGAACAAACAATTACTTTTATATTAAGCAGCTTGGAGTTGTCCCACAGCTCAACGATTGTATGTTCTTTTTATTTCAGTCTTTTTTCTTCTGTTTAATTTTAGATAATTTCTAAACAACTTGCTATGCAATCAAGTTCATGAATCATTTTTCTTCTCTTTCTAATGATCTGTTAATAGCATACAGCACATTTTTCATCTTTGTCATTTTTTTTAAATATAGAAGTTCAATTTTTATATTTTTCATGTTTCTTCTTAACATGCTTATGTTTTCTTCTACCCTTTTGAACATATGGAATATAATTATAATAACTGTTTTAACATTTGTTTTTTACAATTTCTATTATCTCACTTCTGGGTCTATTTTTACCGTTAATTTTTCTTTCCTTTATTGGTTTTATTTTACTGCTCATTTGAATGGCTGGTAATTATGTATTGAGTGCCAGATACTGTGAATTTTTTCATGTTGGGTGCTAGATATGTTCTTTTCTGTTTCTTTTTCTAATCTTTTGGCCATGCAGCATGTGGGATCTTAGTTTCCTGACCAGGGACCGAACCTGCGCCCCCTGCATTGGAAGTGTGGAGTCTTAACCACTGGACTGCCAGGGAAGTTCATTAGATATTTTCATTACTGTTAATTCTCTTTTTAAAATTTATTAATTAATTTATTTGGTTGCATCAGGTCTTAGTTGTGGCAGGCAGGCTCCTTAGTTGCGGCTCATGGGCTCCTTAGTTGTAGCTAGCCAGCTTCTTAGTTACGGCAGGCAGGCTCCTTAGTTGCAGCTCAAGGTCTCCCTAGTTGTGGCTCACCAGCTCCTTAGTTGCAGCACGTGGGCTCCTTAGTTACAGCAGGCGGGCTCCTTAGTTGCTGCTCACGGGCTCCTTAGTTTTGGCTCGCCATCTCCTTAGTTGTGACATGCATGTGGAATCTAGTTCCCAGACCAGTGATTGAACCTGGGCCCAGAATCTTAACCACTGCACCACTAGGGAAGTCCTGTAATTCTTGAGTTTTGTTCTGAGACACAGTGAAGTTACTTATGAACAATTTGATCTTCATAAGGCTTGTTCTTAAGCTTTGCTCAGTAGGTCCAGAGCACCCTTTAGTCAAGGCAAAATTTTCCCCATTACTCACTACATAATACCCTTGTGAACACTTATAGCTCTTGGTCCATGAGTTACCAGTTTTTTCCACTCTGGCTGGAGGCAAAATGAACTGTTTCTGGCCCAGAGATTCAGAGATTGTTTCCTGTGTTCCTTTTGGATAGTTCTTGAGGGTCTCCACTTTGAGAACCACTGCTATGTAGCATAAATTCACACAACATTAAAAGAGATATTTAAACTTTAGGCATGCAATTTGCAAGATCTAATAAATGACAGGGGGGTTGAGAGTAAAAAAAAAAGGCATAATGCTTATAATAGAAAATTCTCCTTAAAAGCCCATTTCTGACATTTAAAAACCAGTGTCAGTGTCACTAAAAATAACACTGACATGAACTAAATATTCCAACAGCTGTCATCTTAAAACTCCTTGAATTTGATGAGAAACATTTGGTCCCCTGTTGTCTGAAGAGAAGACTTTATATAGTACCTGCTGTGTACATAGCCGATCTCTCTGATATCCTTAGCAACAGCCATTCTGCTGCTCATCCAACTGCTCCAAAGCCTTGGGTAATAGGGAGGATTATGGAAATCGCAAATTCTGAAAATATAATAAACTCAGCCATAGACTTTGCATTAATTGGTAACCTGTAGCCCAGTTTGATAATGCAACACAGTATCACATACAGGTTCACTTATTTGATTTGATGATTCTATAAAGATGGGACACAATTTAAAGTAGGAATTCTTAACTAGGATATATGAACATATTTCAGAGTATCTGGAAACCCTCTGAAATTATAAAATTCTCTGTGTGTTCGTGTGTGCGTGTACTTTTCTATGGAGAGTGTCCATGGCTTTCTTTAGATTCTCAAAGGAGTGCATGACCAAAATAAGATTTAGGGTCCCTAGTTTAAGGCAACCTCAAATGAATTCAATTTCCCTCTCTCCCTACTATCCTTCTTTTCTTTCTTGACAATAGTATTCACAAAGGTAATAGCTCATAGCAGTGAGAATTATTATAAAGAAGTAGATTTAAAGCTGGATTGGGTAGCACTAGAAAAACTCCATAAAAATGCATTGTTTTATTTATCAACTAGGATTGTAGTGTCTACACCCTATGAAAACAGTCATATAAGGGCAAAGTTGTTTCTGATGACTTTGGTTGAACTGAACTTGTCTAAAACTACCGGTGAGTAAAAAGTAGAAAACTTCCCAAGTTCATGATAAGTGAAAGTATTTAAAAGTAATGTTTATATATAGAGCTCCAGGTGGTTTTGTTACAATAATCAGACAGAGGCAGTGATGGAAATGCAAATCTGAAGTTCTCTGGATCAGTATAGGCATAGAAGAGGTAAGTTAATTTTACCCACAACAAAATTACAGTTTTAATAGATTGATAATATGTAGGTAGAAAATAGAAGGCTTCAAAGTTTAGGGGAAATCATAATCAAGTGGAAAATAGGTTAAAATGTTAATGTTTCCCATCTTGGCTTGTTTCCCCCAGTATTCCCCCTTAATTTTTTACAACTCACAGAACCCTCAACCCTCAGTACCCAGTAGCCCTGCCACACACACACTTATGATTCAGAAGCCACTTCAGATTTGCATCTGTACTCGTTCCCTCTGAACTACATTACTCTAATAAGTGCCTTCTAATTGTCCAGGGTAATTTATGTATGGTATGACAGTGGATTGGTAAATATAACTTAATAACAATTTCTGACTAATTGATATCCTACATTCTTTAATGTTCCAATAGCAAAACTTTTGCTTTCCTTGTACAATGAATTGCATTTTATTTTTCTTGAAATTCTTATATACTACAGCCATATTTATTTTAGAGTTTGCCAATGCCAACTAAAGAATGTTGCTTGCCATCTGGCTCTACAAGGCTTAAGTCACTGGACACTGTAGTCACTGACCTTTAACACACCCTGAAATGAGTTCAGGGTAGAGATCAGGAATGAGGCACTCTGGGAAAAGCTGGCAGAACAGGCCTTCAGATAGATATTTTCAGTAGGAAGTTTTATAAACCCAAATTCTTGCATCTTCTCATACCTAGAAAAGCACTAAAATCATTAATGGAGACAACTGCTCCCTGTGACTAGCAGCAACCTTCTACTGAGATGTGTGCTTAATTGCATATACCCCTTTCACCAAAATCACACATATACTGACTTCCCCCAAACCCCAACCTCTTCAGAGTAGTTCCTCAGAGCTATCTGAGAGGCTGTCTCATGGGCTATAGTCCTTAGCCCCAAATAAAACTGAGCTCACAGCTCTCACATTGTGGGTTTTTTTTTTTTTTTTGTCAACACCAACATTGTCAGGATCTGGGTCTAATATTGTGCTAATTTGCAAAGTTGATATAAATACTTCAGTTAAGGTTTATGAGGAAAATTTCTTTTAAAACCATAAACATATTCAAATACTTTTAATAAAAGTTTGCTTAAAATGTACTTTTTACTATCATAAATTTTCCACCCCGTGAAAGTCTAAACAATGAAACATGCTACTGTGTGAGAATGAGTATTTTAACATTCAAAAATAAACTAATTTTTCAATGTCCCTACATTTGGTGAGAAAATTAATTTGTAAATTTTGTTGTTTATAACATCAAGAAAATACATGTCTATATCTTTACACATTCCTGTATGAACCATTTTACGTATATCTATAAATTAAAGCTTCCTTTTAAACATCTATGTCTTGAATTTCCTTAGTAACCTCTACTCAAATAAGATTCCTGTATAAAGGTCTCCTCTTTTATGCATTTTTAAAATCTAGAATCATCAGCTACATTTGTTTCTGGTATTTGAATTTTTTACATTGTGTTTGTTATGCAAATTAAAGCTGTTTGTAGCTGATGCACTGGAATAAATGAAATGGGATTTTTCAACTGAGATGTTCTGAGGTCTACCTAGTCTAAGTAAGTACTTTTAAAATAAGCTTAACTGGAATAAAAGACTTCTTTCTGGTTTGTGTTAAGTCTGACCTCTACAGGTTGGGCCTTTCCAAAGTGATTCTCCATTATTATTTAGTCATGGTCAGCAATTTTGTTTCAAACTTCAGCTTTCAGTGCTCTGCATTTTCAATGACTTCTGCCTTCTTGTTGGCTAATTCTGTCTTAAAATGATTTTTTTTGTGCAAATGAAGCATCTATTGAGGGGAAGCTTATCTGAGGCTTACTGAATAAGGGTCTCTCCAAATGTTTCCCTGAGGGTAAGATATAACTTAGGAGCAAGTGGACCACTGTAATCTTTTCTCAGCATCATTGTATTTTTTTTCATTTTTTTCATCATTGTATTTTTTCTCAGCATCATTGTATTTTTTTAAGGTAACATGCATCTGGAGAATAATAAACATAGTCTTCACTGTAAGAAAAAGGAAACCAGAGTTCATATCACCCTTAGACATATAAGTTTTCTCTTTCTTTTTACTTATCACAATAACAGAGGGAAAGGCAAAAGATGTGTGAGGCTGAGCAGACTGAACTTAAGTGACATTAGACTAGTCAGCATTCTACCAGAAAGCCATTGCTGCTAATTTCCCAACTAATATCCATGTAGGAACATAAGAAACACTGAGCACAGGAATAGGGGGTGTTTGGAAGATGAGATGTTACAGAAGAGTCTACATACCACATACAAATCAACCTGGGAGTGAATAAACTCCACTATTATACCCATGAAATGAGAAGTATAGAAACTTCCATCAAGGTGGTCTGAAATTTTAGCCTTTGCCAACATTGTTTAACAACTCCATAATATAGAAAAGAAATGACAATTTTATGCATATGCTTTTAATAAAGAACTTAGGAAGATAAAGCTGGTCAGTATTTGTGGGTATTTTTGTAGCAAGACACATGGTTTTAAGAATATTATATACAATTACTTTGAGCAGATTGGTGGAAAAAAGGATTTGTAGCAAATTGGCAACTTGAGCTTAACTGCTGAGGTCTCCAGTGCTTTTCTTTTTCTGGCTCTCCAATGCATTTCATATATTACCACGACCCAGTACAGGCTTTCCTGCTGCATCCCTTTGCTGATTTAGCCAGCAGGATGACAGCCATTATTCCTTAAATGCATCTTATCTTACTGTTTTTTTTCCCCTTTAACACCATTCCCTACTAAGAATCTATTTCCTGATATATTGCATTCATGTCTAACTCAATCTGCTGATGGCCATATACGAGGCTGCTACAAAGAATACATTTAATAGTTTTGAACACTGTGGGACACAGCCCTAGCCCTTTTGGGGAAGTAAACGGTCATGGGTTGCATGCTATTAGGTGCCATCCGTTCATTATTATATTACATAATACCTGCATGCAAAAGACTACAATTTAATATGGTACATTATAGCTCTGGTTAAAGAAATGCAGATGTACCATACCTCATAAACTATTTACTACTGATTGGATGGAACTCATGAATTTTCAAAGAACATGAGACTTGTGGAAAGGTCTAACAATCTTGTCACATGCCTTCTGTGACTCTGATAGAGGCACAGAACATGTCTTTGGCACCAACTGAGTACCTTAGCTACTCTAGGAGCAGAAGTTTTAGAATGTATGAATGGAATATTCACTTGCAGTGACTGTTGGACTTTTTTCTAAGAGGACAGAGACTCATTCCTTTAAAGTATTTGCTCCTGATGACCAGGCAGCCTGCTTTGGGGGCACTGTGTGTGTGCACACATGTATAGATATATATGTGTGATGATAGGTGAAAGGGATAGGCTTTGCATGACTGTTACATTCCTATGAATTTGGGCCATATTAAATTTCAGATGCACATTACAATAATGTATATTCAATATTCTTATACTGCTAGGATTGTGCTTAAATATTCATTAATCTCAATGTCTACACTTTGTGCAACTTGGCATAAACATGAGGAAGCACATTCTTTTCTCTGGCAAAGACAATCCTGAGAGTGGGCTCTATGGGTGCCAGAGGACATAATGGCACTGGCTGATGCCACACAGTGTGAAATATATGTGTCACATGGGGCCAGAAGGGGAAAGAGGCACATATTACATTTCTATCACATAGAAAATAAGAATTGTATAAATTGCATACTTTCAGCTTTTGGACAAAGTGAGACTCTTCTGAAATGTGGTCCTGCCCCAATTGCTCTCAGTGTTCTAAGCTGCTCCATGGTTATCCCAGTACTGGGAAGCCAAGTCACTCTAACGGTGCACTGGACATGGCAACTGTGAGTTCTGTCCCAGAGAGCTATGTGCTTTTGGAGGGTGCTTCATTTCTTTTGTCCTTAATTTTTAAGGTTGTACCATGGGGAAAATCACTTCTATTCCGCCTCTTTCCAAGGACATTGTTGGAATGAATGGAATATCATTAATAAGGTACTCTAAGTTCTGCAAGAACAAATCATCAATGAGAGCGTGGAAGAAAGAATGGAGCACACTGATTTGCTTAGAAATACTGTTCTGGTTAAACTTTGCATTCCATTCCTGCAATGAAGGATATATAAGAGCACTGGGGAGTTATATAGCACCTTTCACCTGTATGATCCTAACAATGAGTGTCTTTGTTTTGCAGATGGGGAAGATGGGTACCAAAGATTGGGGAATGAGATCCCACGGAGGTTATTGGACATGGCCCCAAGGAAAAGCAAGCAAAGGAGCCAGATCAGGGTATGCTAATTATCAAACAAACCTGTCTGTCTTCCTTATAAATAGTCAACCAATTGGGGGTGGTGGTGGTGTCTAGGTACAGAAGTCAATACTCAATGACCTATAACGGGGATAATATCAGAATCTATAAGCTATCAGAATAAAGGTTCAGAGATAGGAATAGGGTTTCTTTATTCCCCTAAGCCCCCAGGTAAAACCCTGATTTATTTGGCCTTTTGAAAACAGTGTAAGTCTGTAAGACATTAAACAATCAACTTTGCATTATAGCTTTCCTGAGCTTTACCCTTCCAGTGCTTTTTTGTAGTTCCCTGACACTGTCTTTTATGACCTGATTTCTATGAGTGCTGAGTGCTGATACACTCTATTAATTAAATAAGTTCTTGATTCCTTCATGACTTTGAATCATAGTTAGCGGCTATTCTGCCTAAACTCTTGGCAGAAGATGATGGATGGGAAAGATTGCTTTGAGGCCTACTGGCCGTGGAGTAAGCAACAGCCCTACCTTTAGGAAAGGTGCATTTCTATATGAATATAAGGCAAGGCTTGTCAAACATAAGACCATGTGGATGATCAAATAAGCTTTCAAGATAAACCCAAACAAGAGAGTGTTTTAAAGGGAAAGAGGAAGGGGAAAAAAAATCTTCCCATCTGAACATACACGATTTCTTCATGAAACCCAGTGTGCATAATCCTCTAGGCTGGTTCTTGGCATCTGAGTTTGAGAAACAGTCCCTGGCCCTAATAGATTTAGTCGTGTCTAGTATCCTCTCAAATGAAATGCTGGCCACAATCACAATCCATTTAATTTATGCTGAAAGTCTTACCGTGACCAAAATTACCTAGAGGATTCAAATGAACATGTCTTTTGTTGCTTTAAGTAGCTGAATTGCTCACATTCACAGCTCTACTGGAATCTGAACACTGAACTGTTTGTGGCAGGCAATTCTTTTTTACTCAAAAAGGTTTTAGGGGGAATAATTTAGCAAAACTAACATCCCTCTAGGAGCTCAATAACTTGATATCAGTACGATGCCTCTAACTCACTGATCTCTGTAAGAGTTGGGACTTCTATTGTTAGCAGCTGGGCACTATGACACTGACTGAGAAATGAAAACCATCAATACTCTTAGGTATTATTATTATAGAGAAGCAGCATTAATGTCCATACTCATTGATTCAGGCACTAGGACTAAAATAAAGGCTTATTATAAATAAATTGGGAAATGGATGTAAACTATCTTAATGGCTGCACTACTACTGGAACTAAAAAAAAAGAAAAGAAAAGAAAAAAGAGAAAGAGTTGGCATATTACTGTTAGGTTTTTCACTATCTGTACACTAATCCCTGTTGTGAAAAAAAATATCTTTAGTGCTAATCCTTAGGCTAATTTCAACTGTGAAACTTCACCCTTATTAACAGTATTGTAATTAAACCTGAACATCATCCTTAAACCCCTTAACAAAGCCAATGGTCAATAACTTAGGCTTATAGTTTTTCTTTCATCATAAGAGTAATTCATAAAGGCTAAAATAAAGCTAGGTAGCAGAGAAAAGAATAAACGTTATTGGAGAATTTTACCACAGTGTGGCATTAAAAGTCTTTAAAACACTGATCATTATGTTAAATAAAATGGAAATCTGATCTGATCTTCTCTCTTAGCTGTGGTGTTTTCAGGAATATCACACATCTATGACAGAGAACAGGTTTTACATAGTTGTTCAATTCCCAATTTGAGGACCTTGATCACAGTGTTGAATCTCCCTCTTGAATTTTAGGTACCTGATATAGGGAAGGTGTTCACAGCTCAGCAAATATTTAAATTGCTATTTAAAAAAATATGATTGAATAAAAACTTCAGATTTTTTTAAGCCTAAATTTTCACAACACCACAGAAGAATTTTGTGTAAATATGCTGCACATATGCATGCTTATAAATGCACATGTGTACAAGCAGCAAGCTAGTCTGATTCCCCTCAATAAAACAAAGACTCTATAGATATGATTAACAGCCTTTCTAGGGAAGTTAAAGACTCCAAGGAAGTCTTTTGAGTTCCCCTTTACCTGACAAGAGTAATGAAAAGAGCCTCTGGAAAGATAAATATGTTACATTTAGGCTTTCACAGATGGGGAGAGGGGAAATGAAGAAAGAAGCAGAGGAAGACTGGCTTGAATTAATTGCTACCAGATTGATGAGTTCAGCTAGTAAATTAAATAACCTGTAAAGTCCTGAAACATCTATCTGCACAGCAAGAATTTGATGGGATGCTTTCAAATTGTGAAGCTTCCAATCTGCCATGGTGACTTATTTTGAAGATTAGAATGGTTCCCAACACTGAACTCTGTGAGCTTCATTGGAGATAGAGGGTCCTGGGAATGAAAAAAAGAAATTCACAAGTGAGCTAAACTACTGTAAATATCCACATGGTAACATCCATTGACAATAATATGCAACTGTTATATATTTTTGAAGAGTATGCATCAGCATTGAAAAATATTAAGTGAAAAAAGCAGGATGCAAAATTATATATACAATGTTATACTTATTTTTAACCCAGAATCATTATCTGGAACAAAGACCAATGAAATACACTAAGTTGTTGAAAGTGGTGGATTCATGGGTAATTTATTTTCATTTTCTCTACTTTCTATTTGTATTTTCCACATTTCCTCTAGTACATATACATAATAATTTGATAATGCAAAAATATTTATTTCTGAAATTCACAAGAAATAACATAAGCTTTGAAATTGGGCAATTCTGAATTTGAATTCTAACTTTGCTATTTGCTATCTCTGTGATTCTGGACAAATTAGTTTCTTCATCTGTAAAACAGGCATAACAAAATCTAACTAAAACGATATCTGGCATATAGTAGGTACTCAAGCAGCTATTATTAGTATAAGCTTTCTGGAAAACAATTTGGCCATATATATTAATGGTCTTTTAAAAAGTTCATACCAGTAGTTTTGCTTCTAGGAGCCTATCATAGGAAAATGATTATAAATGAGGAAAAATGTTTAAGTTCAATGATATTATTGGCAGCCTTACTCATAATAGTGAAAAACTGAATAAAATCTTAATGTTGGACAGCAGAGAATTGGTTAAATAAACAATAGCACTTTGATGTAATGGGAAATTACTTTCAGCATTAGTGAAAAAAGCAGAATTCGAAACTGAACACAATATGGTCTCAATGTTTAACAAATATATTCATATAAAATATCGATGGAATATAACAAAATGTTAACATGAGTTATCTTCAGGTGGTGGGATTCTAGGTGATTTAAATTTTCTTCATAGTTTTTCTCTTTTCTTTTATGTTTAATATACTTTTTAAATTATTTCTAACTTTTCCTTTTGGCCATGCCGTGTGGCTTGTGGGATCTTAGTTCCCTGACCAGGGATTGAAAATGGGCTCACGGCAGTGAAAGTGTTGACTCCTAACCACTGGACCTCCAGGGAATTTCTTAAAGTATTTTTTTATTATAAAAGCAATTCATGTTCATCATAGAATAATTGGAAACTATAGAAAGGGATAAAGAAAAAAATGACCTATCATCTCAGAGACTGTTTTCCATGCCCCCTTCTTCTCATTCATTCATTTGACAAATATTTATTGAATACTTACCATGTGCCAGGCATTGTGCTAGAAGCTGGCACTTAAATGTGAACAAGACATAGTGACTGCTCTCAAGGAGCTTACAATCTAGTTTGGGCAACAGAAAAGTAAGTAGGCTATTACAACACAGAATAAAAGGGCTCTCATAATGTTATGGTGGCACCCAAAAGACATCAGTCAGTGATACACCCGAGTAAATGATGTGGAGGCTGAAACCTAGAGAATAAATACTATATAGCCAGCTGAAGGAGACTGGAATGGAGGAGGTGGGAGGTTGCTGAGGAAGCATCCCAATCATGGGAAGCATCAGTGGCATGGTTGAGGGGCTGAAAGAAGTTGAGGTGTGGCTCAAGTATAGAATGTGGGGATAGAACTGGTGGAGAAGAAGCTTCAGAGTTAAGAATCTGGAGAGATGAGCAGGGGCTGGATCATAAAAGGTCTTGTAAGCCATGTTAAGGAGTTCAGACTATGCTGAAGCCAACAAAAGAGCCATTACACAGATTTAAGTTTTTCATCATTCTAGCTGCAATATGGAGAATGGACTGGAAGAGGGGCAAGACGGGAATCAGGAAAATCAGTTAAAAAGCTATTGCAGTAACACAGATGACAGACACATGGTTTGGGGTCATGGTAATCAGGCTAGAAAAAGTACACAGCTTCCAGAGATATTTAGGAAGTACAATCAACACACCTCAGTGAATAATTAGATGTGAGTGGGAGATGAAGGAGAAGGAACAAAACAGGAAATGGATTTTGGGGTGGGTGAAATTGAAAGGCACTTGGTTATTCAGGTCTGGAACTCAGTAAAGAGTTCTGGGCTGGAGATACATATCCAATAGTTATCAGCATACATATGCCCTTTAGCCAAGAAATGGGTAGATTCCCTAAGGAATGAGTAGATTTATGTGATGGTCAGGAGAAAACCTAGCAAAGTTTGGGAAGACACTGTCTTAAGAAGGAGATGTCTGATGGTAGGGGTGGGGGGAAAAAGGGTGTAGGAAGTTCCAGAGAAGCATGAGAGAAGGATTTTTTTAATTTTTAAATTTAAATGTATTAAAATTAACTTCTGTTTGGTTTACAGTTCTGCGAGCTTTTACACATGGGTGGAATCTTGTAACCACCATCTCAGATACAATGTAGAACTTCCTCAGCCCCCTAAGCCAGGCAACCACCAATCTGTTTTCTCTCTATGTATTTTTGCCTTTTCCAAAATTTCATACAAATGGAATCATATAGCACATAGCCTTTAAAAAAATATTTTTGTTTTTTTAAATTGAAGTATAGTTGACTTACAATATTATATTAGTTTCAGGTATACAACATAGTGATTTGATATTTTTATAGATTATGCACCATACAAAGGTTATTACAATATTATTGATGACATTCCCTGTGCTATGAACTGGGATTTTTTCACTTACAATAATGCATTTTAGGTTCGTCTATGTTGCTATAAGTATCAATTGTTCATCAAATCAAAAGATTGCTGCGTAGTATACTTTGTTTACTCTTTTTTTTTACATCTTTATTGGAGTATAATTGCTTTACAATGGTGTGTTAGTTTCTGCTTTATAACAAAGTGAATCAGCTATACATATACATATGTTCCCATATCTCTTCCCTCTTGCGTCTCCCTCCTCCCACCCTCCCTATGCCACCCCTCTAGGTGGTCACAAAGCACGGAGTTGATCTCCCTGTGCTATGTGGCTGCTTCCCACTAGCTATCTATTTTACGTTTGGTAGTTTACTCTTTACCCATTGAAGGACATTTCTTTTGTTTTCCAGGTTTGGGCTAGTATAAATAAAGCTGGTATAACCATTCATATACAGATTTTTGTGTGAACACAGGTTTTCATTTTCTAGGGGAAATATGCAGGAGTAGGATTACTGGGTCATATGGTAAGTGTATATTTAACGTTGTAAGAAACTTTATAAGGAACTGTCAAACTGTTTTTCAGAGTACCTGAGCTATTTTGCAACCCCACAAGAAATGTATGAGAGTTCCAATTGTTCTGCATCCTTATCAGCACTTGGAATTATCCCTATGTAAAAACAAAATTACCCATTCCAGTATGGGTATAAAGGAATCTCCTTGTGTTTTAATTTGCATTTTCTTAATGGCTAGTGATATTGAGCAGCTTTCCTTCCCCCCCGCCTCCTCAATGGATATCTATATTTTATTTATTTATTAAAAAAGTTTTTTTTGTTTTAAAAAAATTTATTTTTTGGCTGAGTTGGGTGTTCGTTGCTGTGTGTGGGCTTTCTCTAGTTGCGGCGAGCAGGAGCTACTCTTCGTTGCGGTGCATGGCCTTCTCATTGCGGTGGCTTCTCGTTGTGGAGCACGGGCTCTAGGCACGTGGGCTTCAGTAGTTATGATGTACGAACTTCAGTGGTTGTGGCGCGCAGGTGTGCGGGCTTTCAGAGTTGTGGCTCGCAGGCTCTAGAGCACAGGCTCAGTAGTTGTGGTGCAAGGGCTTTGTTGCTCCACGGCATGTGGGATCTTCCTGGACCAGGGCTCGAACCTATGTCCCTGCATTGACAGTCAGATTCTTAACCATTGCACCACCAGGGAAGTCCCACGGATATCTGTTTTTTAAAAGTAACTCCACTTCCATACTACCAATTTTCAAATGTGAATGACTATATTTTAACAAAGACTTTTGGCACTAATTTCATAGACTATTCACAATCAATTTTAATTTATTTTAATTGAAATATAGTTGATGTACAACATTATGTTAGCTTCAAGTGTACTACATGGTGATCTGACATTTGTATACATTATGAAATTATCACCCTGATAAGTCTAGTAACCATCTGTCTCCATAGAAAGTTATTACAATATTATTGAACATATTCGTATTTAAGGCCAGCGTTTATTGATTTTGTGTGGATGATCTGTCTATTGATGTAAGTGGGGTGGTAAATTTCCCTACAATTATTGCATTACTGTCAAGTTCTCCTTTATGTTTGTTAATATTTGCTTTATGTATTTAGGTGCTACTATGTTGAGGTCCTTTTTTGTCTCTTGTAACACTCTTACACTTTGTTTTAAAATCTATTTTGTCTGATGCAAGTACTGCTACCCCAGCTTTCTTTTAGCTTCCATTTGCATGGAATACATTTTTCCATCTCCTTACTTTCAGTTTGTGTGTGGCTTTAGATATGAAGTTGAGTCTCTTGTAGGGAGCATGTGTATGGGTCTTGTTTTTTTTTCTTTTTCTTTTTGCGGTATGCAGGCCTCTCACTGTTGTGGCCTCTCCCGTTGCGGAGCACAGGCTCCAGACATGCAGGCTCAGCGGCCATGGCTCACGGGCCCAGCTTCTCCGCGGCATGTGGGATCCTCCCAGACCGGGGCACAAACCCGTGTCCCCTGCATCGGCAGGCGGACTCTCAACCACTGTGCCACCAGGGAAGCCCATGGGTCTTGCTTTTTAATCCATTCAGCCACTCTATGTCTTTAGATTGGAGCATTTACTCTATCTACATTTAAAGTAATTATTGATAGGTATTACTTATTGCCATTTTGTGAACTGTTTTGGGGTTGGTTTTGTAGCTCTTTTTGTTGTTGTTCCCTTCTTCATTTGCTGTCTTCCCTTATAATTTAATGACTACCTTTAGTGTTTCTCTTTTTTGTGTATGTATCTATTATATGGTTTTGGTTTGTAGTTGTCATGAGGTACATATATAACAACCTCTCTCTATATATGTGATTATTTTAAGTTGATGATCTCTTAAGTTCAAGTG